CCCAGCAAGTTAACTTCTATCAAGACTCAGTAACATGAGGAAAACCAGAGCATCCTCCCTTAAAGAACTGTTGGATAGGTTCTGAGTATTAGCATTGTGCCTTGCCTTAGTACCCAATAAACAGAAGTAGGTAGTTTGGGTTGTGATGGTGGTGGAATAGCTTAATGCTTAGCGGTAAGAACCAAGCTTCCTGAAGTTTAATTCTATCCTAAATGTAATCTCTTAGCAAGGCCTAAACGCATGACATCCTGAGGCACCACTGTTCCCCTATTGTTAGCTCATTTATCCCTTACTAGACATGAATATCAAATGGGATTTGCACAAGTGGTTTAAGAGCTGACTTGATCTCTAAACCGTTTTAAGACCAAGGCTGCTTCTGTCACAGGTCAGTCAGGAGATCCTAGAACTATTAAATACTACAACAGCCAAGGAACAATCCATTGTTGAAAAGTTTCGCTCACGAGGTCGGGCCCAAGTGCAAGAATTTTGTGACTATGGGACCAAGGAGGAGTGCATGAAGGCCAGTGATGCTGATCGACCTTGTCGCAAGCTGCACTTCAGGTCTCTGGGGAGGAGTGAGGTGGGATGGGCTTCCTAGAAGCAGTCATTCCTTTTCACCACTTCCTGTCATTGGGGTTCTGTCAGTAAACCTGTTATTACTAAGTTCTCCAGATTCTCAAAGTAAACTTTCAGAAGTGGCATCATGTGGGAAGAACTACAGGTTGCGCTCCCAAGGAGATTAGATTTTAAGTGCCCCCTTCTAGCAAGGCATCTCTTATCTCTGAGCCATAGAAATTCTCTGGAAAGAGGATGGTCATAGGAGAAACAGGAACCAGGGCTCTTGGACCACTGAGTTATTTTCTCACCAGCCAAGTCCTTTTTGGACTGTACTCCTAGGAAGAGGAAGTAAAGTCTTTGCTCTTTAATGTGAATTAATGGATCCATGTCATTTGTTTCCCTTCTCTTAAAACTCTTGGAAGAAGTGCTGCCACCAGAGAAGATGGGGGGGGGCAAAACAGAGGAGAAGTTTAAAACTATTTAGGATCTACCCGTGGAATGCCATCTTGATCCTGATTTCTCGTTTTTTATTTTCCCAGACGTATTATCAACAAACACACTGATGAGTCTTTAGGTGACTGCTCTTTCCTTAACACATGCTTCCACATGGACACCTGCAAGTACGTTCACTATGAAATTGATGCTTGTATGGATTCCGAGGGTCCTGGCAACAACGATCACACACCAAGCCAGGAGCTTGCGCTCACGCAGAGTGTTGGTGGTGATTCCAGTGCAGATCGACTCTTCCCACCTCAGGTACTATCTGCTCAGAAAACTCATTTCTATTTATGGACTAATGTCTGAGTAGGGCAGCCATGCAAGCAGGGCATAATTCAGCAGTGTGTCTTGCTGACTGGGATGGAGTGTGATAGATATGCTCAAGGGAGTAAGAAAATAGGTGGAGTGGGCGTGGTGGCGCCCGCCTGTAATCCCAGTACTCGCGAGGCTGAGGCAGGAGGATCGTTGCAAGTTCGAGACCAGCCTGAGCTACAAAGTGAGCTCAGGTCAGTCTGAACTCCATAGCGAGACCCTGTCTCAAAAAAAAAAAAAGTGGAAAAGAGGGACTGGGGCCATGGATCTGAGAGAAGGAACAGAAGATGACCAAGATACTGCCTCATGCAGTGGATCTGTTGTGATATTCGCTACCTGGACGTCAGTATCTTGGGCAAGTTCGCAGTTGTGATGGCTGACCCACCCTGGGATATTCACATGGAGCTGCCCTACGGGACCCTCACAGATGATGAGATGCGCAGGCTTAACATACCAGTGCTACAGGATGATGGCTTTCTCTTCCTCTGGGTCACAGGCAGGTAATACAGTTAAAGACATGTAGAGATGGGCCCATATAGTACATAGTATTCGGTGGGAGGTAAAACCCCAGGTTGTCCTAGGTTCCTAACCCTATTAAATGATCAATTTAGATTTTTCACCCCTTCCTATGGAGCCGTAATAATTCTAACACAAATAATATTTTGAATTATATTTAACTCTACGTTTGCTCCTTGAGAAAGGTCATTGAAAACAGATACTATATCAATACCCCCCAATATAGGGGATTGATCTCCAAGACTCAGTATGTGCTAGACAAGCACTCTAGTACTGAGCTGTATCTTTGCACAGTTCTGAGCTGGAGCCTTGCTAAGTGCCCAGGTGGCCTTGAACTTGTGATCCTCTGCTTCATCCTTCCCAAGAGCTACCTGTAAACGTGCATGTTTTAGCTTTCTGTTTTAGATTCATCCTGTTGCCCTAATGGTGTCTTGCTGAACATCTACCAGGGAAAAAGGGGACTGTTTATTTATGTCAGATGTTTTGAAGGGACTCACAAAATGGGCATACAAGTTGTTTAACCCTTCTTTCCTCTTTAGAGCCATGGAGTTGGGCAGAGAATGTCTGAACCTCTGGGGGTAAGTAGCAGTTGTATTGCTTTGAGGGAAATTAGTACGTATTGATAAGAGTTGTGAGAAGTAATGTTCCCTTCTCCCAGAGGAGTCCTGCGATTCCTTGCCTCTGTAGATGGTTCTGCCCCTCAACTATGCCAGTATGGTTAAAGCTCTCGTTCTTTCTCCAGTTACGAACGCGTAGATGAAATTATCTGGGTGAAGACAAATCAACTGCAGCGCATTATTCGAACAGGTCGTACAGGCCACTGGTTGAACCACGGGAAGGAACACTGCTTGGTGAGCAGTCGTAGGACCCAATTCTGTGACAGGAGTTTTCTTTTTTAATAAGAAAAAGTATGGTTTCATAAGGTAATTCTGTTCTCTGTGGTGAGCAGGTTGGTGTTAAAGGAAATCCTCAAGGCTTCAACCAGGGTCTAGATTGTGACGTGATTGTAGCTGAGGTACGTGCTTCTCAGGTCACTTAGACCTTTTACATTTTGTCATCCACTGTTTATGTCGTCTCAGGTTTTTCTATTTGGATTATAAACATAATAGATCCGTAATCTTGGCTGACTTAAAAAGTAGCTACAGTCTTTCCTTCCTAGGTTCGTTCTACCAGTCATAAACCAGATGAAATCTATGGCATGATTGAAAGACTTTCCCCTGGCACTCGCAAGATCGAGTTGTTTGGTCGACCACACAATGTGCAACCCAACTGGTAAGGGGACTGGAGAACAGGCGGGGCCCCCAGTAGCAAATCTGTGGTATGTGTGCAGTGGCACACTGTTACCACTGAAGCTCTAAAAGGTTTGCCACTGGGCGGGGGATGTCGCTCAGTGGCATAAGCGCCTGCCTGGTAAGCACAAGGTCCCAAGTTCAGTTCCTGGTCAAAAAAAGTTTGCCATCACTGAGCTAGGCCCTACAGGCACAAATTACTCAAGGAGAAATTAGTATGACCTTTACCTCACATTGTGCTGATCTGTAAATGGGCTTTCAGTGGATTTAAGTGGTTTAACCTTGCATTTAAATTGTTTTATGTGATTATGCAACATTTGCTGGAAACTTCAGATTCTAGGACTCCAAGCACTGTTTAAAAAGTCTTTGTTTTTTTCAAACAGTACCCCAGCCTGGCCCCAACAGTCCTGACTTTGGCTCCCAGGTGCTGGGGTTGCCTATAAGGGTCTCCAGCTGCAGCCTGAGGATCTTCCTTAGCCATTCTATGGCATGTACTGGATCTGCCCCCTGGTGGTTCCACCCCTTTAAAAGACATACTGCCTGTGTTTTTATTTATGGAAAGAAATAATTTTATTTATGGAAAGAAATTCACTTGCAGCACCAACTGTCGGAAATAGGCCTGATTAGGTATCAGTTACTTTTTGATAATAGAGCCAGCTTTTTTTTTTTTTTTTTTGGTGAGTCCTCAGGATTGAACCCAGAGCTTTGTGCCTGGTAGGCAAGGGTCTCAGTAAGTTACCCAAGCTGGTCCTCCTAAAGTTAGGACCCTCCTGTTCCAGCCTACTCCTGGGACTACAGGCATGCACCATTATGTCCAGCCGCAAGCTTATTTTAACATGAGCATCTGTATCAATTCTGATTGTTTCCTGACACAGGGTCGTACTGTGTAGCCCAGGCTGGCCTTGTACTGTACAGACTCAGACTCTTGTCTGAGTCTCCTTAGTATTAAGATAAGCCACTGCACCAACATCTGTGCCAGGTCTTCAGGAGTGATACTATTTACAGTAGTGTGAAAAGAATTGATGTGCATCTCTGATGAGATAGGCAGTCTCAATAAAAGTTATGCACCGTTTAACTGTAGTAAGTCCTTTAAGTCCATGGTTTTGGGTTTGCTCCCTTTTCCCCATTTTAGGATCACCCTTGGAAACCAACTTGATGGGATCCACCTATTAGATCCAGATGTTGTTGCACGGTTTAAGCAAAGGTATCCGGATGGAATCATCTCTAAACCTAAGAATTTATAGAAGCATTTCCTTATAGAGCTAAGCACCTGGAGCTGTGGCTCTTCAAATGCATATACCTGAAGAGTTAGTATTTGTACAATAACTGTTTCTTTTATTTAAATAAAGATTTGTATTGTAATTGGAATCTTGAGGTGAAATTTTGGCTCTCCTTTTAAAAAATTTATATTTTAATATATTTTTTTGAGATAGGGTCTCACTCTGTAGTCCAGGCTGGCCTCAAACTCATGGCGATCCTCCTGCATCTGCTCCTTGATAGTGTGTTCTTGTGCAACTCTGGGAATGTTACCTACTTCATTAGGTCTCTGTGAGTGTTCAAAGTGAGTGAATGAATGGAAAGCAGTGACATCCTGATCATTATACAGTAGGACTGTTGTAGGATCACATGATTACCCATTAGTACATGAATGACATTTCTCAAAGTAGGAATTTTAGCATTTCACTGAAGATTATCCTCACTAGGGCTATTACACCCTAAACTTGCTCAGTCTGTTAAACTACATGGCTTTGCTATTCTTTTTTTTTTTTTGGTTTTTCTCCGGTACCAGGAACCGAACTCACGACCTTGCGCTTGCCAGGCAGGCGCTTTTGCCGCTGAGCTAAATCCCCAGCCCCATGGCTTTGCTATTCTATTGGTAGTTTACTTCCAAGAAAAATAAGCTCAGGTTTATAAGTGCCTATAGAGAGTGAGCCTTTATAAGTAAAAAAAATGCCTCTGGCCTGTCATTTAGAAGGTATTTCATCAAACAACACAAACTATTTAGACTTCAGTAAAACCTCTTAAATTAGGGGTGTTCGGTTCTCCCTCTTGTAAACTGTAGTAAGAAGAGAACACTGACTACAGAAGTATTTATGTAGAGAAACAAGAACCTCCTGGGTGATGTCATTTGCTCTACAGTTCCATGTGCCTATGTTACAAACCACTCTTCTCAAGCAAAGCAATTTTGAGACAGGGTCTCATTTTGTATTTCAGGCTAGTCTTGAGTTATCCTCCTGCCTTAGCCTCCCAAGTACTGAGATTATGTGTGCACCATTATGGCCAGCAATGTATTTGGTAGTGGTTCCTTAGGTTGGCTTTTTTTTTTGTCTTTTTGAGACAGAGTCTCGCTATGCAGTTCAGGCTGACCTTGAGCTCACTTTGTAGCCCAGGCTGGTCTTGAACTCGCAACGATCCCCCTGCCTCAGCCTCCTGAGTGCTGGGATTACAGGTGTGCGCCATCACACCCGGCGTTTTTCTTTTTTTGAGACAGGGTCTTGGCACATATCTCAGGCTGGCCTCAAACCTGGGATCCTAGTGCATCAGCATTCTAAATGCTGGGATTATAGGTGTGCCACCAAACGCAGCCGTATTTTTTTTGTGTGTGTATTTTTTTGTGTTACTGGAGACTGAACCCAGGATGTTCACATTGAGCTACATCCCCAGCTCATTTTTTATTTTTTGAGACAGGTTCTTACCAAGTCACTAGGTTGCTCAGGCTGGGTTCGAACTTGGTGGTAGTCCTGCCTCAGCTTCCTTAGAGTGCTGGGATTCTAGGCACATGCCAGTACACCTCACAGTGAGGAGGTGCCTCTGATGAAACGAGCCTTTTACCCCTTTTCTGTATCTGAGGCCCCTCTGCCACTGCACAGTCACCCCTCCCCCCTTCAGAATGGGACCTCACAGTGTCTTCTGGGCTCACAGCCGAGTCCTCTGCCATCATTTTAATGTTTCAGCCAAGTCCTCTGACAGTTATACCAAGTTTCCTCCAACAACCCCACCGCCCCGCCACTCCCTGCGATTCACTTGTTTATATTCCCTTCACCTTTCCCTCTGCTGCTGTCCTGGTATTTCTACTTGCAGTTGAAAGTAGAAAGAACTGCAGGTTACAGCAAACTCAATGGCCCAGATCCACAGCTTTGCCTCTGGAAGGGGTAGGGGGCGTGAAGGACCATGGCAAGTAGAGATTAGGCACTACCAGAAGCCCCACTTGGGTTTCAGAAACAGGCTCTTGCAGTTCTTCCCAGCAGATAAATCTTCACTGGCTTGGGAACAGGAAAGACTATTTCACAAATACCACGGTGTTTGAGTTTCTGGATGCTACCCAGGCCAAAAACACATCCCTACGAGAAAAAGACACACAAATTTATAATTATAACCTAGATACATTCTTTTTAACTGTCTTAAATAAGTTCCCACATTTCCTTCAACATCAGCGCAAGACAGTATCACCTGAGGAATGTAAGAGCATGGGCCTAATAGCAGTAGGGGCAACCAGTCTACTGTAGGGGATCTAAGAAAGGACATACAAATACACCTTGTTTTATGGATATAGGTAATTTCCAGGAAAATAGGGATTAAAGGGCAAATGGTAACAATTTCTCACTCCTTTCACATTGTCCAGCTTTTCACTGTGCTTCTTTTCACTGATGCCCACCTCCCAATTTCTAATTCCCTAAGGATTGGAAGGCTGACATTCAGAATCACTAACAGCTTGAAAGCTTATAATATCTTTTCTTTCAGTTGTCATTCTGGGGGGCTAGGGCTTCAGGTGCACTAGGCAAGTGCTCCAGCAATGAGCTACATTCCCAGCCCTAAATCTATGTTCTTTTTGTTTCTTTTTTTGAGACAGGATCTTGCTATGTAGTTCAGGCAGGCCTTGAACTATGTAGCCCAGGCTTATACTGAACTCATGGCAATCCTCCTGCCTCAGCCTAGCAATTAGTGGGATTAGAGGTGTGCACCACCACGTCTGGCCTGTAAGCTCTTTTTAAGCAGAAGGGCTTTTACAGTAGCCTTTCCAGTGAGACCAAATATATAGCAACCCACTCTAAATTAAGAGTTATATGATTATATGCTGAAGGCTACAGCATTTCTTAACACAGTTAATTTAACAACACCTGAATTGTAAGGAGAACGGTAAGCTCACCTGCAGTGCTTCACCACACACTCGTTGCTGCAGTATTCATTGTCCCAGTCCTTGCTTGCGACAGGAGGGTTCTCACAACCAGACCTCACGCATCGAGGCTGAGGTGAGAGCACCACTGGAGATCCGCTCACCAACTCAACATCCATCTGAGAAGGAGATTCAACCTGTGAGAGGAAGAGCAACAGATGCATTGGGTGGCCACCTCCCCTGCTACCCAGTCAGTCAAATTACCCTTGGGATCCAATGAGGCAAGATGTTTACAATTCCTCAAATGGGTAAAGTTCTCCCCAAAAAGTGGGTTCTTGGTCTTGCCTTTACTGTTCAATTTTAGGGCTCTGCCAAGCAGGACAATATAAAGAGTCTTACCAGAGAGGAAGTCAGGGCATATGCTACTGCTTTTAAATTTTAATCCACTCCACCACACTCAAATAATATCCCTCTGAAAAGTCAGTAAACATCTTGTAGAGATTTAAGGATTTAATATTGCTAAGTTTAGGATCCCTGGGTAGGCCACCTCTACAAATTAACACTGTAGGCTATACCTCTCTAATCAAACCACACTGATGCCTTTGCTCACTTAAGAAGTGGTCTGGCCAGATGTGGTAGCACACACTTACAATCTCAGCACTTGGGAGGCTGAGGTTGGAGGGTTGCTGTGAGTTCAAGGCCAGCTCGTGCTACAAAGCAAGATCCTACCTCAAAACGGAACAGTTCAAAGCCCAGGAATGATGGCACATGCCTAGAATCCCAGCATTTTGGGAAACTGACATGGAAGGATCATAAATTCAAGCCCAGCTTGGGTAACTCAGCAAGACCTGTCTCAGAAAAAAGGTTGGGGAGAACCCTAGGTTTAATCAGTACATACACCCACAAAAGGTCTGGAACAGGACATCCTCTTAATGTTTCTTTACAAAGCACTACAGGTCTAGGTGGGAAAAGTCACTGAGGGAGGGAACCACTGTCTACTAGAGGCTTCATACTGGTTACCAGGTATCAAATACTAGCAGCATTGGGCCCCTTCTTAAAAGAATGCTCACACGTCCCCACTTGTTTTATTTATTTATTTATTTATTTTTGTTTTTTTTCTAGTACCGGGAATCAAACTCACGACCTTGCGCTTGCCAGGCAGGCGCTGTGCCGCTGAGCTAAATCCCCAGCCCCATCCCCACTAGTGTAGAACAAACAAAAACTCACCTCAGGAACAGCATCTGTGATCATCTCACAGATTGTGTCAGGAGTGGCTGCCTCCACTGTGTGGGCCTCAGGGCTGCTGTTCACAGGCTGCTCGGGACTGCTGTCCACAGCAGCTGGAACTACGGTGGTCTGCATCTTCAGCGTGGGTGGAGGCACAATCTTACTCTGCAGAGGAGGTGGCTGCTGCTGTAAGTTGATTCTAACTTTCTGAGGTGGAGGCTGCTGCATGGCCTGGAGTGGAGGAGGCTGCTGTAGAATGGTGACTTGCTGCTGAGCTGGGGGCTGAGGCATCTGCTGTAATGGAGGAGGCTGTAGTCGGGGTGGAGGCAGTTGCATAGAAGCAGCAGCTGCTGCCGCTGCCTGCAACACTGACCGGGTAACAATTTGGGCTTGCTGGCTGGGCTGGATAGTAGCTGTACTGGTTTGGCCCAGCTGGAGCCCCCGGGAGGTCACCACTGTGGCTGGGATAACAGTAACCATGCCTCCTTGAGACATGGTAATAGACGAGGGCAACATCTGTTTGGTGATAATTAACTTGGTGATATTGGGCTGACCCCCAGCCCCAGAAGATGCTTGGTTTGCCACATAGGACGAAAGAGTGGAATTAACCACAATGCAAGGGGATAGAGCAGGCGACTCTGTTGAGGCTGGTGCTGGAGATGCTGGGTCAACAGTAGCCACAGGAGGTGGGGAAGGAGTCTGGGCGGGTGGCACTGGATCCAATTCCACTGTTTCCACAGTGGCCTGAAAGAAGACCAAAAAAGTCACTGAGAGTTTTACTCTGTTGCAGGATGTATTCATTCCAATGACCTCTCAATAAAAGACACCTTATAGACTGAAAACAAATGCAGCTAAGAATACTGCCTTTGATAAAGTAAACACTGGAAATAATGAGTAAACTCAGAGACTGGCAAGGTTTATATGATGTGCAATAAAGGACGGCTAGTTAAAATTTTTTTTAAGCTTTTAATACTACTTAGTGTTAATACACTGGGCAGGTTTTCAGTGATACTTTTTACAACTGCTA